CTTTCAGAGCACGGATTCTCAAGGCTGGCTGTTCCTGAGCAGACAGGCGTCGCCATCTAGTGGGGCTTCTTTTGAAAAAGCAGCCTCAGGGCTCAGAGTGCCTGGGTCAGTACATTCTTTGGGCTTGGGCTCCACCTAGTGGATATTATGAACAATCACATCCACTTGGCTTCAGCCCCAGAATCACCTGAGTAGATTCTTTAAAATTCCAAGTGATAGAAATTAGTGTGCAAATTTAGGGTTTTGGAGTGTGGTAGGTTCAGCCACAGAACCTAGATTTTAAACTCAGTTTCCACAAGCTCTTGACTCTGGGGAAATTTGTGTTTGAGAAACATGACCTTAAAATGGACTCCTGCAGATGTATTTGTCTACATGGCCCACTAAGTCAGTAACAGAGTCTGTAGGTACCTGCTCCCATTTGTTTTTTCGAGACAAGGTTTCTCTGTGTAGTCCTGGCTATTTTGGAACTCACTCTGTAGACCAAGCTGACCTCCAGCTCACAGAGATCCACCTGCCTCTGCCTCCTGAGTACTGAGATTAAAGGCGTGCACCACCACCACTTGTCCCTGCTTTCAATTTTACAGAAATCCTTTACTGCCTGTTAGCCTTGCTAGTCACCCTTAGACGAGTTGGTCTCAGTTTCCACTTAAAGATGCCCTGGGGTGTCACACACCTGTAACCCCAGCATTTAGAGGAAAGTTCTAGTCCTATGTTAAACTCTGGAAGGCATGGGGCTGTTGTTTAATGACAGAGAGAGTCCTTGGCAGGCATGTATAAGACCCTGCATATAAACCTCAGCAAAGAAAACAATGATGAGGAGCCCGAGGAATCACTGGGACAGGACTTACTGACCCTGAGTCAAACATTGCTCTTATTTATCTTTCTGTTTCTTCCTATAGCTATCGTATGCATCCTGGCTGGGGTGAAGATGAGTTAGGTACTGACTTGCTAATCAGAGGCAAAGGCAACCTGAAAAGCTTACAGGGACCGTGGCTTGTGATTGTTACTGTGCATTTTAGTACCCTGGTTCACTGGGTCCTGAAAAAAATTCCTGAGGATGTATTATTATGTACAGGATCCCCTCTATGTGTGAGGAAACCAAGACCCAGACAAGCTAAGAAGCTCACTCAAGGTTGCACAGTGAGTACTGCCACAGTGAGTGAGAGAGTACTGCCACAGTGAGGGTGTGAGCACTGTCACAGTGAGGATGTGAGTACTACCACAGTGGGGGAGCACTGCCACAGTGAGGGAGCACTGCCTCAGTGAGGGAGCACTGCCTCAGTGAGCGAGCACTGCCTCAGTGAGGGAGCACTGCCACAGTGAGGGAGCACTGCCACAGTGAGTGAGTACTGACACAGTGTGTTGCCAGGGCCTGGCATGTTTTAGTCCCATGCTACGGAAGCCACTTATTCCGCATTGATGCCTTTGGGGCTGCAATCAAAGCCAGCAGAATGGCCGCGGGTCCATCCCTGAGTGGGAGAGTGTGGACCAGGAAACTCCTAGCTGCCCAACAGTGACATAGATGAGACAGAGGCATCTTATCATCTCAGGAGGGCTCAGTCCATGCTGGAGACTGGAGTTCATGGTTTATTCAAGCATCCTCTTAAATAGCTTTCCAACTCCGGGGGTGATATCAGAAGACATCTATCATCATGTATAAAGCTAACATCAAATATTTCCTTTAATTCTAGAGGCACCCCTAAAATTGTTTGTCTTCACCAGCCTCTCATGAGACCCTAGGCACATATACAAGCCCTCAGAAGAGTTGTGGGCCCACCCAGGGCCTAGGTCTGTTTTTAAGCAAACTAGGAGACATTCTCCACTGAGGACAAGCCATCTGGTGGTAAACAGCTGCCATCTAGAAGACAGTGTGAGATTTGGGCTCCTGGAATTGAGATGAGGTTTGTACCCCAAAATATTATAATCGATATTTTTTGGGCCCCGACAGTGTGTGAACACTGGTAACAGTGAGTGAGCACTGCCACAGTGAGGGAGTACTGCCACAGTGAGTGAGCGCTGACACAATGAGTGAGCACTGACACAGTGAGTGAGCACTGATACAGTGAGTGAGCACTGACACAGTGTGTGAGCGCTGACACAGTGAGGGAGCACTGACACAGTGAGTGAGCGCTGACACAGTGAGTGAGGGAACACTGCCACAGTGAGTGAGGGAACACTGCCACAGTGAGTGAGGGAGCACTGACACAGTGAGGGAGCACTGACACAGTGGGTGAGCACTGACACAGTGAGGGAGCACTGCCACAGTGAGTGAGGGAACACTGACACAGTGAGGGAGCATTGACACAGTGTGTGAGTGCTAACACAGTGTGTGAGCGCTGACACAGTGTGTGAGCGCTGACACAGTGAGGGAGCGCTAACACAGTGAGTGAGCGCTGACACAGTGAGGGAGCACTGCCACAGTGAGTGAGGGAGCACTGCCACAGTGAGGGAGAACTGCCACAGTGAGGGAGCACTGCCACAATGAGGGAGCACTGCCACAGTGAGGGAGTACCAATGGAGGCTATCTCTGCTTATTTCCCAGGCTTGGATCCCAGGCCTGAGGACTGCATGGTTCAGACACAGATGAGCCTCCTGTTTTCCTTAGGAGGAGAAATTGTCTATCGCTGAAGTTGTGCACTAGGGGGCCTGCTGCCAAGACTGGGGTGCAGGAATTCAAGTTTAGCAGACCCCCATAGAGTGCCTCTGCCATTGGAAAATATCAAGAGTCAGACACTGTCTCAACAGCCAGCTGGTGACCTCAGTCCTTCTAGTGACAAGATCCAGCTCTGTTTTCTTTCTTTCTTTTTCTTTTCTGTTAATCCACTACTCTTTCTTGTGCGTAGACCAAACCTCCCCATGAGTCCCACCTTTCCCACACTCACCCAGTCTCAGGGTCTTCTTTCTTCCCCTCTTTGTTACCACACTATCCCACTTGCCAGAGGCCAGGACCTTCTCCCTGCACTGTTGGAGCCTCCTTTAGAGAGGGACTGGGGTGGAATGAGAGGGAGATCTGGAAAGGTCTGGGCTTCTATGGCTCCCTTGCAGGCAATGCTCAGATTCCTCAAGACAGTCAAACATGGGCACCAAGTAGTTCAAGGCCAAGTCAGACCTCCTTTCTTAGCTACTGGATGCCTTGATTCAGGTTCCCAGGTGGCCATGCCTGACTCTGCTCTCCTACCCCTAGCCCCCACAGGAAGCAGAAGGGACAGATCTTACATTTGTTCGCCTCAGAGAGGGCAGCTCTGCCTTTGGTACCTGCAGCATCATCAATGTGTGCTCACACTACAAGTAAGAAAGTACCTGGCCACATACTGACAGGTCAGAGAGGTCCAGAGAGTCCCAGCATGTATCAGAAGCTACTGTGGGGCTTCAGGAAGCTCAGGTAGTGTGCTGTCCCTTCCGTTGTTACAGGAGTTATCTGGGGGGACTTCTCAGAGGAGGCACCACTGGAGTGGAGCTCTGAAGGCATAGGGTAGGGGAAGAATGCTCTCAGCTGGGTGGCAGGGTCAGAAAAGCCTTGTAAGCTCACACAGGCATGCACAAGATATACAACATGGTTACCTTGAACAAAGGATCCCTGGCTGGGTATGGGGTGGGACGTGATGACAGGACAGCCCCAGCTGTAGGGTCCATTTGGAGACCCTGTCCATCCCACTGAGCACCTTTCCTCCCCAGTCACATGTCAGCTCTGGAGAGACACATGAAGGCGGCCAAGGACTACTGCTAAATCCACAAAGTGCTGTGCCACCCAGAAACACATCTCTCCGGCTTTTGCTTTAAAAACCATTGGCACATCTGAAACACAGTAGCACAGAGCAGCAGGGACAAGCAGCAGTTTGTCACAGGCTTCCCCAACCCCTGTTGTCACGTGCTGTCTATTTCACACCTGTTTGGTCTGTGGGCAATGAGGAACCACAGAAGGTAGTTGAGCAAGCATGGTCAGATTTCTTTATAAGGTGTTTAATCCTAGGAGACTGCAGGAGAATTTAGGTGAGGAAGATTGCCTAGTACAGACAGGTGCTGGGGGCCAGGACTGACTCTCAAGCCTGGCCTGGATCTGCGGGGACAGGTTAGAGAGAGCCATACTCATTCCTTTCTCCCTCTGCTCCCTGGGCATTTCCCATGGCTTTTATTGCCTCCTATGAAGATCATGTATCCGTTTCCTCTGGTACACCAGAGCTATGGCCCCCTGGTTCACCCAGTTATCCATCCACACCCTATGGACGGTGCCCAAAGTTGTAGTTTATGGATCCAGATCTGTGGCTAGAGGGAGAAGGATGAGCATGCTGAAGGCAAAATGCCACGTTGTCGTCAGTGACGCTTGTTGAACCAGGAGATTCAGCCAGGAATCCAGTGGGGGTTGAGGAGACTTACAGGCTGGTTCCTTTGGTGGCTGGAAATAATACTCCACTAAGCAAAAGGAGCTTCTTTCTTCTTTCTCTTAAGTTTCTTCACTTCCCCAAGCATGTAAGATTTCTGTTGTTGTAGAAAAATCTCGAGACAAACAAAAGAAAGAAAAGTTTATTTCTGCTCAGGTTCTAGTCATGGTCATTTGCTTTATTGCTTCTGGGCCTGTGGTAAAGCAGAACATCATGAGGAGGGAGGGAAGGGGCCTGGGGAGAGAAGGAGAGAGAGAGTCACACAGAGACAGACAGAGACACAGAGACAGACTGAGGGGGATAGAGAGACAGAGAAAGACAGAGACAAAGAGAGACAGAGACATACACACAGAGAATAAACACCCTTCCAGGGAACATGTTGACCTACTTCTAACTAGGCCCTACCTCCTCAAATTTCCCCCTCCCATTAAGCAATGCATCTACTGAAGAGGTCAGGGTTGTCACCAGCCAACTACTTCCCAAAGTCCCCGTCTCTGAACACTGATACACCAGAGAATCAACCTTCAACATGTGAGTTTAGGGGGAAACACTTTGACTCCACAGCATACCACAAGGGCGATTCTGAACAAGGCCTCCTCACGTGGCTTCTGGGAGAGACAGATTGCCTATTCCAGGCTGAGAACTTTACCTGGCCCACAGGAGATGCTGCCAGGATGTGAGTGGGGGTGCCCATGTTGCTAGACACCACTGTGGTGTCAGCAGAGGGCACTTTGCTGAGGAGACATCCCTTAAGGGGACGAAGACTGGACAGTCCACTACCTAGGGATTTCAACAAGGTCCTGTCCTCAGAGCCCATGTAGCACTCCGAACTCTTGGGCATCACAGCCCCAGAGGTCAGAGGTCAGGACTGACGGGGAGATGACCAGATTGGGGCCAGATGGGAGCACAGCCACTGTGGACAACAGCTGCTTGAGCAGGCAGCAGTTAGCCTGGAGGTAAATATGACTCAGGGGCGCTGAAGCTGCAATGGACTCCCCAGCTGCGAACAACCAGCCACTGATAGGAAAAGGCAGCCAGGTGTCAGAACACAGAATGTTCTTGGCCCCTCCCCTGCTCCACTGTGTCAACTTCGATGGAGTCATTTTTGATGTTGAACCAGGAGTATTCATGGAAGTGAAAGAGAACAAGCATGGTGCTGTTTTTCAAAGGATTGAGTCACTGTATCTGCTAGCTATTGCCGAGTAACAAACTGCTCTCAGATTGATCTTAAAAGGACAAACATTTGTTTTTCCCTCGTCCACGGGCTGATGGGGTGGGGCTGTTATCTTCATGAGGCTGGGTTTCCTTTTGTTGGCAGAACAAATGGGTCAGTAGGGAGGGTTGGGTCAGGCTGACCATGCAGAAGTAGACGTGCAGGTCTACAGTTCATGGGCTCTTTCCTCTGGCAGGCCAATCCAGGCTTTCTTGGTGATGGGTGAGACTTGTGGAGGCATTTAAGGCCAGGCTCAGAATAGAAGCCCACCTTGCCTCTAACACAGCAAACTCAATGGGCCCAGCAGAAGGCTCCATTCTATAAGACAGCTACAGTGTCATGCTGTAAAGGACACATATGAAGAAAGAGGTAGGGTGGGGGGAATTAGTCTGTGATCTACTGTTAGGTTTTAAATGTGAAATGTGCCCCACATTTAACCATTACTAGATGGTTCTGGAACTATCTGAGGATAGTCGTAGACAGAATCTCTAGGCATGGGGCCTAGCTGGCACATGTAGGCCCCTGGGCGGGTCTTGATGTTCATAATCTGCCCTGGTGTCCAGGGTGAGCTCTCTGCTTCCTGTCTGCCATTGCATTGCGAACAGCTGCTGGAACAGCTCCAGCGGCCACAGATGGAACTGCTTCTGCCTCTACACCTTGTCTGCTGAGATGGACTGTTGCCTCTGAACTGTGAGCCAGAAGACCCCCCTTCCTTTAAGCTGTTTCTGTCAGATATCCTGTCCTAGCAAAGGGAAAGGAAGCCAAGACATCCACCTACCAACTTGATAATATTTCTATTTTCTATTAGCAACTTCCTCATCATCTCCAGTAGCCTAGAGCCAAGTATCAGACATCCATGTAGACAGATACACTGTCTGGCTTATACAATGTTTCAAGGTCTATAGTCTGTATTTTTGCCCACTTGGCTCCCATAGGTAAGTGAGTTGGCAAGTTTTTCCTCCGGTACTACCAGCTCATACTCATTAAACATGTATATCTTCTTATCACCTACAGGAGAAACCTCAACTCTTCATACTGGAACCGAAGAGTTTACATCCATATCCCAGGCTTAACCTCTGCCTCTGACTCATGCTTCTCACTTCCACTGACCTCATACCCCAAGCCCTCACCAGGTGCTTGTAAACATATGACTCTTTCTTTCTTTCTTTCTTTCTTTCTTTCTTTTTTCTTCTTTCTTTCTTTCTTTCTCTCTTTCTTTCTTTCAGTAATTTATTTTAACTTTATTTTATGTACATTGGTGTGAAGGTGTCACATCCTCAGGAACTGGAATTTCAAACTGTTGTGAACTGCCATGTGGGTGCAGGGAATTGAACCCAGGTCCTCTGGAAGGGCAGCTAGTGCTCTTAACCGCTGAGCCATCTCTCCAGCCCCATATATGACTCTTTTTTAATGTTCTTTAGTGCTTGTCTGTTTTGAAAGTGTTTCTTCTTCCAGGAATTCTCTTCCTGTGTCCGGTGATCCTGACTCAGTTCAATGCCATGTCTGCAGTCTTTGCTGGCACCACACTCCACATCCTGTCTCATCACCATTAGCCCCTCCTTCTCCAACCTTCTCACTCACTTACTGCCATCATGAACACAATCACTGCCCACCTCCCCCCTTCCTCTGTATCCAGTGAACAGTCGCTACTCATAGACAAAGATCAGAGGATCTGAGGCAGGCACATGGACTCTGGGAACAGATAGACCCACAAGCAAATCCTTCTCCCACTGCCTGTGAACTCAGGGATGCCCGCCAATTTCTCAATAATCCCTCTGAGCCTCCATTTTGTCATCAGGAAAATAAGTGTCTCATATATATGCCTTAGGGCATTGTTCTGAGAGGCACCATGGAGGGAGCCTGTGGAATGTGCTTTGTGTGGTGCCTGGAGCATGGCAGGTGTTCAGCAAGTGTCCATATATAAATGGAGTAGAGCCCCAAGCCTTCTACAGCCGCTGCCTCCCAGCCCACCCTTCCCCAACCTCTCTATCCTGACAGCAAACAGGATCTCTCTGTTCAAGTATCCTTGTCCACTTCCTAATCACTTGGCAGGAATGAGAATCATGAGACACCCACAAAAAACTCGAAAGTGTTTCTATTTGGGGTTCAGAAGATTGGGAATCAGTTGCCTGTCTCTGTCTCACAAATTAATGGAGAGGCAGCTTTGTTACAAAATATGATTCTTGTAGAGAGGATTATGTGTACTAAATCTAGCTAGAATATGCTGTGCATGTGCAGGTGTGTGTGTGTGTGTGTGTGTAACAAAGCTGCAGTAATCGTACATTTACAACTAATAAATTGGGTCATTTAATTCCACTGCAATAAGCCTTTGAAATATAAGCTCTCATTTCAGACTTTGAGAACACAGCTTCTCATGATTGTAACTCCAGCACACATTACCACTTATAATTAAATTCACTTTTAAGAAATCTGAAGCACTTTTGTGGATTATCTCTCCATTCAATGTCATGATGGCAAAATTAATGTGTAATCTGTTGAATGCATTTGGTTAGTGTTTGGATAAAACACATATCCTCTGCTATTGATCAAAAGCTGGGAAGTCAGATAAGATGAAGGGGGTGTGCATGACTTCTCTGTAACAGACGGGAACAAAGCCAGAGCAAAGCCAGGCATGTCTCTCCCATCCCTGCATCCCCAAAGGGGTACCCATCCCCATGAAAGAGGAATGTCTGACTTACTTGAAAAGGGAAAAATGTTAAATTATGGCCAAATTATCTGTTGGAAGTGATGTAGTCATAAATCTTGCATAGCAATTGACTCAAGGCCCCTGGCTGGATGATCAGATGGCAGACCCCTAAAAGGCCCCAGGTCAGTGTATGTGTAGAAGGCATACCCAGATGCACACAGGGCTTGATGAGAAGTTAAGTGGAGAGGGATGGGAGTCTTGAACTCATACATCGGCCTTGTGAAAGCAGTCACTCGAAGTCTAACTGTACAGTCCTGATGGGTACCCCAAGAGCTGTGTGATAATTTTCCAAACTTCAGACACACAGAGCTAAGGTTTTACTACTCAATCCAAGCCTGGGAACGGATGCATCCATGCTTGAGCCTGTTCATGATTCAGGCCGCAAGCAAAGTGAATGCTTCCCGGAACATGGGATGTTGAGAGTGGTGGGGAGGACTGGATATGTCACTCAGTGATGGGATGTCTGGCCCTTGGTTCAGTCTCAGAGAGAGAAGAAGGGGGTGTGTATGCCATTCTTCAACCAGCAGAAATGTCACTCAAGATTTGTTCCTTTCCTGAGGCCCTGAAGATCTTTGCTTAAAAGACAGTATTTTCCTGAGAATGGCAGTTTGAATGAGACGATAAATATTAGCATTCGCCTGGGGACCTGCATGACCTTTGATGGAAGTGGCAGCTCTGACACTCAGAGAATGAGGCAGTGGCCAGGTCACTCACTACTGCTGCTTTTGGTGGTCACTGGGAGTCAGAGGCAAGGACAAGGGTAGGAAGGTGTGTGTCAGTGTGTCAATGTGTGTGCTTGTCAGTGTGTCTGTGCACAGACCCACTTGTGTGAATCTTGATGTGCATGGGCACCTGGGAGTGTGTAGGAGTTTGAGTACATGTGTCTGTGTGCATTCAGGGTGAAGGTGTGCCTGTATCTGAGGCTATAAGCATGTATCTATGTGTGAGTGTGTCTGTCCATTTGTCTCTATCTTCAGCCACTTAGTTGCTCTAACAGAGTCTCCTAAACTCAAACAACTGTAAATAGCAGGGATGTACTGCTCAAGTTCTGAGGCTGTGATGGCTTCGACAAAGATGCTGGGAGATTTGGTATCTAGAGAGAGCCTGCTGTCTGTTTCATTGTGCCCTTACATGGTAGGAAGGGCAGACTGTTTCACAAGGACACCAATCTCTGTGTCATTACAAAGGCCCCACCTCCTAATACCATCCCCTTGGCGAGTGGTATTTCAATATGAATTTGGAGAACACACTTAGACCATGGAAGTTTCTGGATGTTGAGTGCCTGCATGCTTCTCTTTGTGTCTCTGTGCTGTGTATTTCTGGACTCTGGGCATCTTTGACTCTGTGTCTATGTGTCTTCCTGAGGCTATAGATTGTATGAGTCTGTCTGTATGCACATATATGTATGTATTTCTGGTGTCTGAGTATGACAGAGAAAGAATGTGATATATAACGTAAAAAGATAACAACAAGAAGAGGGGAATGGGCCTCAAGCAAATCCCTTCTCGTCTCTGGTCCCTAATTCCCACCAATAAGACAACATTTTCCAAGTGAGCCAGCCAGTCTACAAAGGATTCACTTACTATGTGCAGTCTCCATGCTGCACTGGGGCTTGGGCCATGGGAACTGCTAAATCAGGGTCCCTATCCTTATAAGTTATCAGTGACATCAGGTGAGGTGACACTTAAGTCTGGTCTCTCCACATATCCTTGCATTAACAGTAAGGAGGGCTGTTACCACCATGGAAGAGCAACCTTGTACATGTTCTACATGCTACTGACGTCACCTTCCTGTGTACCAAGCACAGTAAAGGTTGGCAATGCCAAGATGCACAAGAGGGAGATACCTTTTGCATAGCTCCTTTGATGGAAGCCCCGCACTCACCTTTCTTTGAGAACATACTAGGAACATACTAGGAAAGAACACTTTCCTGTGCTGCCCTTTGACTGAAGATGTCAAATCTCCATTTCAGCTGTCATGGAGGCTTTGATCCCAGCAGAGCACGGGAGGAAATCTTTGACAGATTCAAGCACATTAACCTAGTAAGAGCCACTCAATGATTTGACCTTGAGCTTGGGATGGAGTCAAGAACCAGAAGAGATATAACATGTAACCACAGTCTCCTTAACATGCTCTGGCTGGTCCTGTGGAAAAGAGAACTCAAAGGAAGGCATTGGTCCAAGGCACGTTCAAGGTAGAGACTGTGAGAGTGTAGATAACTTTTAGCACTTGGCCTTTCTTAAAAGCACATAGGCATTTAAAACTCTGACTAGTTCCCTCTCTAAAGTCATTAATAGGGACTACAAATGGGGCTGGACCTGAGTTTGTACTTGGGTTTAGACTTGATCCTGTTTCTATCACATTACCTTGCACGTTCAGGTACTAATGAATATTCAATGCATGGTGAGTGAATGAATTAACCTGTGGATAGATGATTGGGTGGACAAATAAGTGGAAGAATGGGTAACTAAATGAATGGATGGGTAACTAGATGGGTGGATAGATGGATGGGTATGGATAGATATGGGGATAAAGGGATGCATAGATGGGTGGACTCATGGATGCTTAAGTAAGTGGATGGATAGATGGATGGATGATGGATGGATGAATGGATGGATGGGTATTGAAATTGAGAGAAGGAAAAAGGCTGTGAAGTCCAAGAGTGCCATCCTAAGAGTAAAGGCTGTATGTAGTTAATCCATATACCTGGTTTACTTTTGTCATAGAATTGACCCATGGGTGGTTGAAAATTATTTAGTAAGTAGTCAATATAAAATCACAGAAATATCACATCATTTTTTTTTTTGTTTTTCGAGACAGGGTTTCTCTGTGTAGCTTTGTAGCCTATCCTGGCACTCGCTCTGGAGACCAGGCTGGTCTCAAACTCACAGCGATCCACCTGCCTCTGCTGGTATTAAAGGTGTGCATCACCAATGCCCAACGAAATATCACATCTTAAAAATGCAGATTTCTGCCTTTTCTTTTCAGGCCAAAAGTCAGCAGGCTTGTATTTTATGTGTAAGCAATCACTCCTTTGAAAGGGAGTGTGATGTCTAATGTGCCCCCAACCTACCCCACCCCATTTCCTACTCCACCTCCCTCAAATGCTCAGTGATATTACCAGTCAGTCTACAGGTATTTGCACTTTCCACTTTATAGACTTAAAGGAAGTCTTGACACTCACTACTCTTAGTTCACTGTGTTTAGCCATTCTGAGCTGGTATTTTCTTCACTTGTTCCCCTACCTTTTACTCTGCCTATGGACAGTGTGGGCTGCATCGCATCGATGCCATCCTGAGCCTCAGCTAAAGGGCCAGAGAAACCTCCTGAAGGCCTCTGCCGCCTCTCCCCCTACAGCTTCCTCTGAGAATGGTCCTTGGCAAAGGGCTCCCTGGACAGAAAAGAAGGGTGGCTAGCTGGGGTGGCTGTGCTGGTGGAACCAGCAGGCGGGTTTGAAGAAAGACACAGCCAGCCTTCCAGAAGTTGAAAGGGAATGGTTTCTGAAAATGTCCCTGGTGCACTTTTGTATTTCATTGACATTTTAATTAAGACTGGAGCACTCTTTGGGGAGCTCTGCTCTGAAGTTGAAATCACTTTAATATGCTGCCCTCGAATAAAGCTGCAGATGAATGGGAGCTTGGGGTTCTCATATGTTTCCTGGCACTTAGTGATTCCTTTTCACCACACATTGTGATGTGAAGATGCTTTATGAGTTTCTATTGGCTAAGTGCAGCCATATCAAATTATAATTTTGCTCAGTGGATTTTCTTTAAGAAGATTAAAGTTACATACAGACCTTTCCCAAAGGGAAGCAGGTCTCAGCGTCACCTCAGCTTCCCAGGAGTTAAATAGTTACTGTAGAGGCTAGCTCAGTTAGTAAGTGCTAGATTGACATGCAAACATGAGGACCTGAAAAAGCTGGGTGATGTGCCATGTGCTCAGGGCAAGGGCAGAGTCACATGGATCCCTGTAGGTCACAGGCCAGTCAGTCTAGGCAGTTGGATTCAGTAATCTGGATCTGATGAGAGACCAGATCCAGATTAAAATAAGGTGGAGGGGGCTAGAGAGATGGTTAGCAATATTACTGCTCTTGCCAAGGACCTAAGTTTGGGTGCCAGCACCCATGTAGGGCAGCCCACAACTGCCTGTAACTCCAGCTCCAGGAATCCAATACTATCTTCTACTCTCTATAGGCGCATGT